ACGAACATGTGGCACCAAAGAGACAGACAGAAGCAGGGAGGGAGGGAGGTAAACAGGGAGGCGACCTCCTTTCTGGGTTTAGGTTGCAGCTTTCATGCAATCTGACATTTCCCTGCTTTTGGTTTCCCGAGAGAATCCTCTATCTTCCCCCTTTTGGCTTCAGGGGAGCCTGGTAAGGTTTCTGTTACTTGCAACCAACGTGGCCTTAATTAAGATGGCTGTATTAAAGCAAAGCATCAGGCAAAGCAGGTAAGGATGTAGAGGCCTGGCCCCGTGCCCTCGGGAGCATGCCACGTGACCCTAAGGGAGGGTGAAGGGTGTCGCAAGTGGAAGGTCAAGGACGTGAAGAACTACCCGGCTGAGAGGGAAGAGGCCTTACTTTAAGATCTCTGGGCCGGTAAACATCATCAGGTCGTGCACAGCCTTGAACAAGAAGCTCATGAGGAAGTAGGGCCCAAAGGTCTTGTATAACACCTTGAACAGGGACGGGTTCCAATCCTTCTGGGGGGACTTGATGATCAAAGCCTCGGCCTCCTCGTTCACATCCACCTTGGAACTCCCTTTCGGCTTGGCGGGATCCTTGGAGGAGTACACGATCTTCACCGGCTGTCTGGAACACGAGGAGCAAGGAGCAGTTGTGGGGTCTGCCAGACACTCAGCCCACCGGCCAGGAGAGGGCAGGAGAAGGCCCCCCCCAACAGGGAGGCCTAGACAAAGAAAACCAGTCGCTGCAGAAAAGCAGCTTAGCACGGTGACTCTGACCACAGACTCAGGATCCTGGCCAGCTGTGTGACTTTAGGCAAGTGCCTTAACCTCTCTAGGCCTTAGTTTCCTCATCTGTACAATGGGGAAATAGTAGGACCTACCTCACCTATACATGACTTAATATAGGTAAAAGGCAGAGAAAAGTGCCAACCCCAAAATGACCTACAGATTCAGTGCAATCTCTATCAGAATCCCAGCTGGCTCTTTATAGAAATGGAGAAGCTAATCCTAAAATTCATATGGAAACTCAAGGGATCCAAAAGAGCCAAAACAATCTTGAAAAAGATAAGCAAAGTTGGAGGATTCACACTTCCCGACTTCAAAACTTACTATGAAACAACCATAATCAAGACAGGCATGAGGTTGAGCATATACAGAGATCAATGCAACAGAATTAAAAATCCAGAAATAAACCTGATTGATTTTGACGAGGTTGTCAAGGCCGTTCAACGGGAAAAGAATAGTTTTTTCAACAAATGGTGTTGGGAAACTAGAGAGTTGCAGGCAAAAGAGTGAGTTGGACCCTCACTTCACACCATATACAAAAATTAACTCGAAATGGATGAAAGACCTAACATAGAGCTAAAACTATAAAATTCTTGGAAGGCAACAGAGGGGGCAAAACTTTAGGACCTTGGATTTAGCAATGGATTCTTAAATACGACCCCAAAGGCACAAGCAACAAAAGAAAAAATAAACTGAACTTCATCAAAATCAAAAACTTTTGTGCTTCAAAAGACACCACCAAGAAAGTGAAAAGACAACCCACAAAATGGGAGGAAATATTTGCAAATCAAAACTCTGATAAGGGACCTGTAACTAGAGCAAATAAAGAACTCTTACAAATCAATAAGAAAAAGACAACGCAACCATAAAAGGCGCAAAGAAGACATGCGAACGGGGTAAGCACATGTAACGTTGCTTAACATCTTAAGTCATCAGGGAAATGCAAATCAACACCAGGATGAGATACGGCTTCACACCCGCTAGGATGGTTATCAAAAAGTCAGATAACAACAAGGTCTGCAAGGATGTTGAGAAATCGGAACCCTCAGACATGCCCCTGTGAAGTCCCCTCCCACTTGTAAAAGGATATTGCAGAAATGATGGAGAGAGAGTGTCATTCCCAAGATTAGGCTGCAGAAAACACTGTGGCTTCTTTCTTGCCCTCTCATGGATCATTCACTCTGGGCAAAGCCAACTGCCGGGTCAAGAGGACACTCCACCAGCCTCCTGGAGAAGCCCCCATGGTGAGACCTTGCCAACAGCCAGCACAGTCTTACCAACCACGTGCAACGTGGAAGCAGATCCACGGCCCCGGTCAAGGCTTCAGAGGACTGCAGCCATGACAGACCCTGAGCCAGAACTACCCAGCTAGACCCATCCCAGACCCCTGACCCAGAGACCCTGTGTGACATAGTAAATGTTCATTCTTATTTAAAGCTGCTACGTTTGGGGGTGACCTGTTATGTAGCAACACATACAGCTTCCCTCTCCCAAAATGCAGTCAAAGCAACATCCTCAAAAGGCCAAACGTGGGATCCATCCCTGAAATGTGCACCCAAGCTTCATCCCCATCGTCCACCCGACACAATCGTCCACTGCATGAGCTCTCTGAACATCGTTTAATCACAGGGGATTCTTGCCTCTCCCATCTAAGCCACATCTGACCATTTGGACCAAGTGAAACGCCCTCCTGGAGACCACAGCCTCCCAACCTGCCTTGGAGGGGACACCCTCCTCCGTCCCCACTCCAAACCGTGGGCACTGGTCTGGGCTCTGTCAAGTCGGTATCCTTCCCCTCGATGCTCCTCACCCCAGGAAAGGACCAGAAACATGGGAATCATCCCTGAACTTTTCTCCTCCACGCTCCCAGCTCTAGTCAGGCACGTGTTGTGTCCATCCCACTCCCGGGATGTGTGCAGTCATCCATCCACGCTTTCCATCGCCACAGCCTCTGACCCATGCAAGTGACCATCGCTGGGGCCTCCTCCCCACTCCCCCCATTTCCTTCCACTCTCGTTCCCTAACAACCAAGTCCCTGCACAGCAGCCAGTGGGATCCTCCTAAAGCGCATCACCCCAACCTCAACGCCACTGCTGGCCTCCCACTGCATCCAGAATAAAATCTAAACTCTGCGTGAAGTTGCAGAATTTCCTATGGCTGCTGCAACAAATTAACACAAACTCAATGGCATGAAATAACACAAATTTAACATCTCATAGTTGTGGAGGTCAGAAATCTAAGGTGGCTCCATGTATCTTTGGGACCTGTCAGCTGTGGAAGTCTCCCTTCCTAGCCATGGAAGAGCACATTCTTGTTTATTGGCAAAGCTGTCACTATTTAACTGGTATCAGATTCTGATACCAGAATACATTCTTCACTTCAAAAACCTGGAGGGTACTGGGTTATTGGGCAAACATCTAACTACTGTTGAAATGTTTCTAGGAAGCTGAACTAATTGTTCCAATGGATGATGGAAAATATAACAAAATATCAAGATATCCAAAGCAATACGGACGAAGTCTTATTTAGCATCCTGTTGTACACTGCCAACTGTCATTTTAAATCTCAAGTATGGTATTTAAATGGAGAATAAAGGAGTGCTTCCTTGCTATATAAATAAAATGCTTGATTTGTACAGACTAAAAAAAAAAAAAAAGAAAAAAGAGATCTAAGGTGGGCCTGCAGGCTCCATGGGAGAATCTGTTTCCTCCTCTTCCAGCTTCTAGAAGATGCTTACAGGGACTTCCCTGGTAGCGCAATGGTTAAGAATCCGCCTGCCAATGCAGGGAACATGGGTTCAGTCCCAGGTCCGGGAAGATCTCACGTGCCGCGGAGCAACTAAGCCCATGCGCCACAACTACTGAGCCTGTGCTCTAGAGCCCGCAAGCCACAACTACTGAGCCCATGCGCTGCAACTACTGAGCCCGCATGCTGCAACTACTTAGCCTGTGCACCTAGAGCCCATGCTCCACAACAAGAGAATCCACCGCAACGAGAAACTCGTGCACTGCAACAAAGAGTAGCCCCCGCTCACCAAAACTAGAGAAAGCCCGCGCACAGCAACAAAGACCCAACGCAGCCCAAAAAGAAAAAAAAAAAAGCAGCCCACACACCTGGGCACGTGGCCCCTGCCTCCATCTTCCAAGCCAGCCGCACAGCATCTTCTCTCTCTCACCTCCTGTCTCCTCCTTATAAGGACCCTCGTGATTATGACATCAGGCCCACCCCAATAACCCAGAATAGTCTCCCATCTCAAAATCCTGAACTGAATCACATCTGCAAAGACCCTTTGCCATGTAACATATTCACAGGTTCTGGGGATCAGGATGTGGACATCTTTTTTTTTTGGTGGGGGGGTCATTCCACCAACCACAGAGGATTATTTCTATTTTTCGTGTTGTCAGTGTCACTGCGGAAGCTTCCCTGCTCACTTTACTGACTTCCTCTGAAGCTGGGATTCTGGCGGGGATTTTTAGTATGATTTCATTCAGCACACACATGCCCTCTTGGAAAGGAGGACAAGAAGGCAGGACCCGGGGGCAGGGAGTGGTTGAGTCGTTCCCCCCTCCGCATTCATTTTCTGCACCACGTCCTAAGCTGGGCCCTGGCCCTGGGCCTGCCTGGGCTGCCACTGACCCAGGCTGTTTTCTGTGGCCAGGAGACGGGTGGCCAAAGGGCCAGGGAGAAGGTCTCAGGAGGGCAGAGAGGAGGAAGGCTCAGGCCTGGGGGGAAGGGGTCTAGAGAAGTGGAAGGGACCAGCTACGGCCGAGTCAGGAGAGAAAAAATACCCAGTGAACAAGAGCCCTCCAAGGGAAGCTGGCGCTCCTGGAGGGTGAGGAAGAAAGCAGGGCACCTGAATGGTCTGGCTGGGAAAGAAAGGAAAGTTGGAGAGGGAAGGTCTGAGTCAGAAGAAAACTGCTCAGGACAGGGGAACAGGGAGGGGTGGGGAAGCTGGAGACTGGGAAGAAAAAGGAACTTGCTCACCCAGGGGATTTCGATACAGGCAAAGGTGCCCATTGCTCTCTCCTCCACGAATGCCCTGCTCTGGGCCAGGCCCTGGGGAGAGCCCCACCATCGAGCAGCCCTGTGAGAGAAACGGATCAGCCGTGTGAGGGGGACTATCATGGGGGCTTCCTGGAGGAGGCGACATCAAAGCTGAGACCTGCATGATGAGGGATAGAGTCCACTTGGGGAGGGAAAGGGTGCTCTAGGCAGGGGAAACAGGATGAGCAAGGCCTGGAACGAAGGGATTTTGAAAAGAGGTGAGGCAGCCCTTCCAAGAACCTCAAGTAACCAGAGCAGGGCTGAGAGAGCAGACTGGGAGGTGCGTGAACCAACCAAAGGGCCATGAGGAGCTATTGCAGGCTTTGTTTGCCATTTGTTAAACCAATAAGATCTCTAATGTTGAGGCAAAGGCGAAAAACTTCAAACCTATAAAGATCATAGCTCAATTAAAACTAAATTTTCTGGATGTATTCTGAGCACTGTCTTTGATCCATAATACCCAGTATAACACAGAAGGGCAGATTTGACCTACAACTGCAGAGAATGGATTTTACACCCTTAACTCACATTTTCATTCTCCTTAGAGCTCACAATATACGGGATAACGGTTTTGGAAACCACAGATGGGCATGGCAGTCACCTCCCCACTCCCACCCCTCCAGCCCCGCAAGGAAAGTATAGCCCCGGCAGGATTTTGACTGTGCTGAGCACAAATACAAATGACTCAAGATAATTCTTTCCCTTTTTGTTGTTGTTGTCGTAGAGTGCTTTTTGTTTCACAAAAACAGGCTGTGAAGGGGGTTTCTTACCCTCTGATGCCACAATGACTGGGCCAGAAACCAGACCCTCTTTGAGTACAGGACCATCCCAAAGGACCAAGATCCTACCAGGCATCCATGTAGGTGAAGAGCCTGCCGAAAATCACCTAAATCTGTGGGGGTTTTGTTTGTTTATTTGTTTGTTTTTGCCACCACCGAATGCTTGTGGGATCTTAGTTCCCCGACCAGGGATCGAACCCGCGCCCCCTGCAGTGGAAGCGCAGAGTCTTAACAATTGAACAGACAGGGAAGTCCCCAAATCACCTAAATCTACACTCTTAACTCCAGCTTTGGCATAAATCCATACACAGAGTGTTTTGTGGGGTTTTTTTGCAAGTTTAAATATACCTCGATTTTTTTCAGAAATGTAGTCAGTGTGCAAATTAAGTTCTGTTCAGAAATTTGCCAAGCATGAATCACCACTTTGCAAAACCTTGTCCATGAGGGTGATTAATGGTTCTGATCTCCACAACTGCAAGACTGGGTCGGTCAGGATTTGCTGCTGCCACACTTTGCTGCTCCACTTATGAGCACTCAGCGATTCTTCATTCTCTATTCTAGCATGTGCCTGAGCGTTTACACACAGACATACATGGATGACGTTTTATTACAAATCCCTTGCCTTTTAGTCTTCTGTTAAAGTTGAGCAAGAACACTTTGTTGGTTTTTAAAGTAAGATACATGAGTGGGTTATTTTTATATATTTCCTGAAAGTACATTTAAGGAGGTGTTACAATATCTTTATTACTCAAGGGGGTAATGGGTCTGAAAGGCTGGGAACCATAGCTTAACACCCGTATTTTGGAGCATTTTGTTTTCTTTGTTTTTGTTTGTTATTTGCACTCCTTTATGAAGTAGACACAATTAAGTAAAATGGTCACCCTTTCTTTAAACACTACTGCTTTTTTATATATTGCTTTATTGGAGTATAACTGATGTAAAATCAAGTTCACGCATTTGAAGTGTACAATTTGATGAGTTCTGACATATTTACACACCTGTCAGACCATCAGGGAAACCAAGAAAATGAACACGCCCATTACCCCCAAAGAGCTCTCCTCTCTGTAATTTCTCCTCCCATCTCACTACCTCCCCCTACCTCAGGCAACCACTGATCTGATTTCCATCACTACAGACTTGCTTTCATTTTCTGGAATTGTATATAAATGGAATCACCTAGTATGTACTGTTGCCTGGCTTCGTTCACTCAGCGTAATTATTTAAAGATTTTCATGTGGCTCAGTGTACCAACAGTTCATTCTGTTGTTTTGCTCAGAAGTGTTCCCTTGCATGGCTACACTGTGATTTGCACATCTATTCACTTGTTAATGGTTGTCTGGGTTACTTCCAGCTTTGGCCATCACACATAAAGCTGCTATGAACATCCCTGTACAAGTTTATGAACATATGTCTCCAGTTCTCTTGGGTGTACACCTAGGAGTAGAACGGTTAGGTGGTATCATAACTACCTAACTTTTTAAAAAAACTGCCCAAGTCTTTTCCAGAGCCGCCAAACCATTTTATAATCATTCCAGCAGGAACCACAGTCCAAAATGGCCTTAACCTATGGGAGGCCATAAGTTGAGAAATTTCCACTCCATTTTGTGAAACTCAAAATCATCTAATGAAAACCAATGAGGCGCTGGATTTTAAAACCCAAAGGTCAGGGGAGCAGCTCAGACCTGACTCCCGAGAGGAGTCACTCAGGGGTGAGGAGAACTGGGGGTGGGGGGGAGGTTGAGACCCAAGGCCAAGAAGCCAAGGCAGCCCTGCCCAGGCTGCGGTCACCTGTTCCCCGGGAGCCCTGGGGCACCCAGCAGCCCAGAGCACAGGACTCTCCCCTCCCCACCCATGCCCACAGGGGTCACAGGGCCGGATGTGGCTCACGCCTCTGGGAACAGAGCCACTGACCCATCTGCCCCTACTCTCGCCCCACAAACCACCTTCCCCAGCACAGCCTAACTGGTTGATATAAAATAGAACTCCGGGCATGCCGCTGCCCTGTGTAAAACCCAGCGGTCTTCTTACCGCATTTGGGATCAACCTCAGAGCCAGTACCATAGCCTATGAGATCCCTGCAAACACTTCTCCTACTTTATCTCCTCCTGTTCTCCCCACCTCTCACTCCACTCAAGCCATACGGGGCCCCTTGCTGCTCCATAAGCATGCCACACTCACCTCTACCTCAGGACCTTTGCACTAGCTGTTCCCGTGAAACGGAAAGCCCTTTCTCCACATTTGCACGCGGCTCACTCCCTCCTTTGACACGAATCTCTGTTCAGAGAGGCCATTCCTTACCACCAAACCTGCATCAGCTCCCACAGTCACCCTCACCCTCATTTCCCCATTTAATCTCGTCATCACACTAAGGCTCTTCAAAGTTTCTCAACAGTGTGTGTTTGACTCCCAACTCCCTGTGTCCCACACGGAATGTAAGTGGCACCAAACAAGGAGCCTGTCTATCTTGTTCCACTCTCTGAACCCCCAGGGCCTAAACCGCACTCAGCATATCAGCAGTAATCAACTGCATCTGCTGAACGAACCAACAGAGGGCCAGGCCCATGATGGAGCTTTATGCTGTATGGCCAGTCCTCTTCCCACGAAGCCTCATTGCCAGCCCCTCCTACAACATCTGCAGCAACCGGCTCACTGGGTGAGCCCCATGGGGCAGCACGGTGGGCATCCCCTGCCACCCAACGTGGGAAGGAGACGGAGCCAAGCAGTCAGCGAGGCTCGGGTAACTCAAGCTGAGGACGCAGCCATCTCATCAGGAAGGAGGCTGCAGGCCAGGCCGAAGGAAACCAGAGACCCTACTTCTGCCTGAGAACCTCCAACTGGGTCACAGACATGGGACCCGGCCAGAGCCGTGTGTGCACAGAGCACCGGCCGTCTCCTCACAATGCCAACCACAGAGGATCAAGCTCAATCCACCTCCCAAGGGACAACTTCTCCTCTGTCCGTGAGGATCCGCTCTGACCCCAAACGGGCCACGGCACAGACTCACAAGTCCTCTTGCTGATGTCCTGGTGGCAAGCACAGATGTCCCACATTCCCATCCACAGCCTGAGTGAAGACCTGGAACTCCTGCAATGGGTGAGGAATCAGACCTAGATCCTGGGCCTCTCTCCTGGGAGGCCAGCTGCTCTGCGGGGCCACACACCAGGCTGGGCTCTCGTCAGCCAGCTCTCCAAGGTGGACAACAGGCCCAACCCCATAACGACAACCAAAGTAATGACACTGTCCCCTGCCACCAAATCCCTCGTGATTTCTCTTCCGGCTCCTCTGGACGCAGGATGCATCTTATATGTCAATGTCATGTCCTGGTTTAATCGGCAGCCATTTCTCTTTCTCACTGGTGCATAAAATAATGATGCATCGCACAACTGATGACGTCCTAGATTTGATGAAATAAGGTATGTGCTGGGGAGGCCCTGGCCTGATTCCCCAAATAACCTGATGACAGAGCTCGGGGTTGGCATGCAGGTCTCGTCGGCGAGAGTCTGAAATCCTGGACACCGAGAGTGAACCCTGATGTAAACCACAGACTCGGGGTGACAATGCTGCGTCAATGTGGGCTCATGGGTTGTCACCAATGTGCCCCTCTGATGGGGGATGCTGACAGCAGGGGAGGGGTGCACCTGTCTCTGCACCTTCTGCTCAGAACTGCTGTGAACCTAAAACTGCTCCAAAAAATAAAGGCTGTTGGAAAAAAAAAAATCCAGTACAGCCCAAACCACCGTCAAATGGGGGTTCTTAGGCTGAACACCTCAAGAAGCAGTTGACGTGGCGTGTTGAACCAAAACATTTAAAACAGCAAGAGGGGCCTCCCTGGTGGCGCAGTGGTTGAGAGTCCGCCTGCCGATGCAGGGGATACGGGTTCGTGCCCTGGTCCGGGAGGATCCCGCATGCCGCGGAGCGGCTGGGCCCGTGAGCCGTGGGCGCTGAGCTTGTGCGTCCGGCAACGGGAGGGGCCATGACAGTGAGAGGTCCACATATTGCAAAAAAAAAAAAAAAAACAGCAAAAAAAAAACTAGTAAGATTTTTCAGCAGTGAGTGTTGAGAGAACCCAAGTTACGATGCTGGGCATGACTTTATAGAGAGATTTCAAAATTTCAACTTTGATTCAGATCCACCAATGATAACAAGTGCTAAAAACTATACTAAAAAAAAAAAAAAAAAAAAAAAAAACAGCAAGAACACTCAGGATGCCAGATGCTCGGAGAGAAGCAGGGAAAATGAGACTGACTCGGGGAGGGCAGGGTCACACAGCCAGGTACACGTGCGCCAAGGTCACGGCAAACAAAATGGTTCTCCCACTTGACATCTTTCTCTCTTCTTTCCTACCCAAATTGTCTTAGCTACATGTCAGACTCTACCCCATTCTGCAGATGAGCAAACCGTGGCTCGGAGGAGGGAAGCAGCCCTCCCAGGGCCATGAAGCTAGTAAGAGGTGGAAGGATGGAGCTACGGGGTCACCCCAGTGAGTGCCCAGCCTCCCCAGGGCAGGATGCCTGGCACTTACTTTCTGGACTTCGCACATTCCTTCTTCCAGTTCTTTACCAAAACGGGCACAACTTGTTCTGACGTGTCCTCCTTATTCAGGGACCAGAGGTCAGTGCTCTCCAGGGGTTGGCGGTAGCCCTGGACCATCATCCTGTGGCCGAAACACAAGGTGGGAGGCGATGAGAGTCAGAAGGAGGAGGACGACGACCCTCCCTGCCACCACGGCCATGTGACCGAAGGCGGCCACAACTGAGGAATATCTCAATAAGGAATAATGGACATGTGGGCACATTAAATCATTATTGCTAATTTTGCTGTTAGGTCACCCAGGAAAAACAGCCTCATTTTTAGAGATACATACAGAATACTTAGAAGGAATAGCAGGATGGCTCTAATTTACTTAAAAAAAATTTTTTTAAAGCAAATATGACAAAGCATTAACCATCATTAAATCAGGTGATGAGTTTATTGAGGTTTATTTTTTATTTTTATTTTTTTTTCAGTACGCGGGCCTCTCACTGTTGTGGCCTCTCCCGTTGCAGAGCACAGGCTCCGGACGCGCAGGCTCAGCGGCCATGGCTCACGGACCCAGCCGCTCCACGGCATGTGGGATCCTCCCGGACTGGGGCACGAACCTGTGTGCCCTGCATCGGCAGTCGGACTCTCAACCACTGCGCCACCAGGGAAGCCCTATTGAAGTTTATTAAACTAGTCTTTCTGGTTTGAATACTTTCATGATAAAAAGCAAACCTAGTATTTTAACTTGTTATTTTGAAACATTTCAAACTCAGAGAAAAATCACAGGAATCTTACAAAGAATTCCTGTCTACCCTTCACCTAGTTCACGACTGTTAACATTTTAAGTGTGCTGTATCTGCCTCTGTCTCTAGATACATACATATGCAAACACATACAGGCAGACCTCAGAGACACTGTGGGTTCGGTTCCAGACCACCGTGATAAAGTGACTATTGCAATAAAGTCACAGGAATTTTTTGGTTTCCCATATTAAAGTTATGTTTACACTATCCTATAATCTATTAAATGTGCAATAGCATTACGTCTAAAAGAAACAACATACAGAGCTTAACTTAAAAATACTTTATTGCTAAAGAATGCTAAGCATCATCTGTGCCCGCAGCAAATCCTAGTAATAACATCAAACATCATGGATCACAGATCACCATAATAAATATAATAATAATGAAAAAGTTTGAAGGATTGTGAGAATTACCAAAATGTGACACAGAGACACAAAGTGAGTGAATGCTGTTCCAAAAATGGTGCCAACAGACTCGCTTGATGCAGGGTTGCCACCAACCTTCAATTTGTAAAAGACACAGTGTCTGCGAAGCGTAATAAAATGAAGTATTTCAGGGCTTCCCTGGTGGCGCAGTGGTTGAGAGTCCGCCTGCCGACGCAGGGGACACGGGTTCGTGCCCTGGTCCGGGAAGATCCCACATGCCGCGGAGCGGCTGGGCCCGTGAGCCATGGCCGCTGAGCCTGCGCGTCCGGAGACTGTGCTCCGCGACGGGAGAGGCCATAACGGTGAGAAGCCCGCGTACCAAAAAAGAAAAAAAAAAAAAAAAAAAGAACTATTTCTTTTTTCTGAACCATTTCATAGTAGGTTGCAGACTCTACACATCTTTACCCCTAAATATTAGTGTGCATCCCCCTAAGAGAAAGGACGTGCTCTGATATAACCAGAGTACAATGACCAAAATCAGGAATATGAGCCTGGCTGGCGTGACCTACAGTTCATATTCAAATTACACCGTCCTAGCGCTGTTCTTTAACAGCAACTGAAAAATAGTTAAGTAAGACAAATATTAAATTAAAAAAAAAAAACACAATGTTTGTAAAAAGTTTATAAAGACAAGGAAAAATGCCTGGGGGTTGAGGGAGGGATTTTAATAATCCCCAGTAGGATGCTGACAATGTAAAGAAAAAAATGTGCAAATAAAAGGAGGGCGAGAAGGGGGTGTATTGAGCTGTGGACGGCGGCTGCCTCTGGTGCTCTGTTGCTATTGGTCCACACTCTTACCCACTTTTCCTACGGTGCACGGGCATTATTTTTCTCATGGGGGGAAACAAGGCCAACAACAATAATTACACCTAATGCAAAAAAACAGCCAAATCCAAAGCTGAGCCAAGAGCGTGCAGCTTCTTGCCCAGGCCAAGCCGTCCACAGAGGTGCAAGCTGTTTAGGTTTATGCATTTATCACATGAATGTGGGGTCAGGGTGAGTGTCTCTGAGACCCTGGCCCAGGGAAGGCACACTCAGGACACAGCCCCATCGGAAAGGGCAAGGGAGGAAGAGCAGGGGCCCTAGTGGCACACTCATGGCCCAGCAGGCGCCCGAGGTTTGGGGACCAGGACTTACCCTGTGATCCACCAGAAGGTGATCCTGGAAAGGAAGGAGGCGCTGGATTCTGGGCAAGGATTCTAGTGGAGAGAAAGCACAGGGTGGGGAGCAAAGGGGAAATGAATGGTTAAACTCCTCATCTACGCCAGCTCTAGGCAGGGAGCAGCCAGCTGACTGCTCTTCCTCCCAGTGGACCAGCGGCCACTCTCATGCCACTGATTTTCACCCTGAAAGGGCTTCCCTCCTGAGCACCAGTGGCCTGGAAAGAAACACCTGGCAGCTCCTCCAGTTTTACCCGGTAACTGTTTCCTGAGTGTCTGCTATGTGTAAAAATGGTACAATGCGTCCCATACCTGCCTTATCTTATATCCCCACAGCAACCCAACAAACACGGCCCTACTGTTGTCCCTGCTTTAGTTCATTCATTTGTCCATTCAACAAATATTTATTGAGCATCTACAATGTGCCAGGCACTCAACAAGGTACTAGCATTATCTCATATCCTCACAGAACCGTAAGTGTGGTATTACTATTTCTTTCATTCATTCATTCACTCATTCAACAAATATTTTCTGAGCACCTACTATGTGCCTGCCACCTGTACACAAATCTGAAGAAACAGACATAACCCTAAACCAGGGCAATAACACCACCTGCTAACACTCTCTGCTAGCTAGCTCTGTTTTAAATGTTTTACACAAATTAACTCATTTAATCTTCATAACCACACTATGAGGTAGGTAAAAGCAACATCCTCATTTTGTAGTTAAAGAAACTGAGGGGCAGAGAAATGAAAAGACTTGCCCGGGGAGCCAACAGCTAGAAGCAGCGGAGATAGAATGTGAGCCCCAATCAGTCAGGGTCCGGAGAGAGACATTAATCAAACGATCACGTGAACAAATACAAAACCACAACTGTGACAAGGATCATACCCCAAAGGCAAGTCAATATTACCAGTGAGATCACTGGTATCTCACTGGGCTGATCTAGTTGACAGAGGTCAGGAAAGGCGCCCCTGAGGAAGATGGTCAAGCTGGGGTCTGAAGAGTGAGGAGAGGATAACTAAGTGAAGGGGAAAGGCAAGGCAGTCCCAGCAGAGTGACTAGTGTGTGCAAAGGCCCTGTGGTAGAGGGGAGCATAGCCAGCTTCAGGAACCAAGAGGGGGCCTGAGTAGTCTACACTGGAGGCTGTGCTAAGTCTACGCTGGAGGCCACATAAGGGATTTTGGTCTCCATCCCAAGAGCAACAGGAAATCATCAACAGATTCTAAGCAAACTTTCAAAGAACCTCTTTTCCAGAGCCACAACGACGAGCTCCAGTTCAGTGCCACACAGGCAAGGAACGGGTAATCAGCACAGAGCCTTTGAGACTGCACACAAGGGCCAAATATGTTCAGGTCTAAATCCTGAAACACAAGTGTTAGTGTAGATGGGGTCACCAGGCAGTGATGAGATCATTAGCCGAGGATGTTGCTCTGTGTTCCTCCATTTTGCAGAGATAAGATGCTGGGGAGCCCCATGAGGGAACAAACACACTCTACCCAAGTGGTTGTCAACCCTGGCTGGGGGCACTCGCAAAAAAAATACCATATCTGCCCCACCCCCCAGAGATTCTGATTTAGCTGGTTTGGGGTGGGTCTAGGCACTTGAGTTTCTGTTTTTGTTTTCAACTCCCAGAGTCTCCTTGACCAAGTGGCTGGGCAGGAAATGTATAAGATAAGCCCAGAACATCTTGTCACACCTGACGGGAGGAGGGTTGGTAAAAGGCCTCAGAAGCAACCAGAATTAGCTCCCACAAGCCCAGAAAGGGACCATTTGAGCTGCACTGCAGACAGTAAGTCAAAAGGACTGAGACACATCACAAATGTTTAAATACACAAGTTCATCTTGATACTGGAAAAGAAGAAAAACCTCTTGGTGACGCTGATGAAAAGATGGTAGTGAACCAAGTCGTTGTTTTGAAAACAGAAAAAAGAAAGAAACAAGCATTTGTCTATGACATCACAGGGTGACTAAAGAGATGAGGAAGTGTCTTTGCATAAAATGGTCCCGCTAACAATTGAAGGAATGATATCATGTAAGAGGTTGCACCGGGCTTCCCTGGTGGCGCAGTGGTTAAGAATCTGCCTGCCAATGCAGGGCACACGGATTTGAGCCCTGGTCCAGGAAGATCCCACATGCCGTGGAGCAACTGAGCCCGTGTGCCACAACTATTGAGCCTGTGCTCTACAGCCCGTGAGCCATAACTACCGAGCCTGCGTGCTGCAACTACTAAGGCCCGTGCGCCTAGAGCCCGTGCTCTGCAACAAGACAAGCCCCACAACGAGAAGCCTGCACACCACAACGAAGAGTGGCCCTCGCTCACCACAACTAGAGAAAGCCCACGCGCAGCAACGAAGACCCAACATAGCCAAAAATAAATAAAATAAATAAATAAATAAATAATTAAATAAATAAAGACACAGGAAATGGCTCCTCTTAACTTAGTCTCTGAAAAAAAAAAGAAAAAGAAAAAAAAAAAGAGGTTGCACCACTTTGCAACCACGGTGGATTTCTGGAATACTTGATGATATTAAAGAATTAGTATGTTTTTAGGCCATATAATGGTATTATTGTTGCACTGCTTAAAATCCTTATCTCTGAGATATTATTGCGGAAAGCTGGAGAAGGGCATACAAGAACTCTACCATTTTTGTAACGTTTTGCAAGTCAAGTTATTTCAAAATAAAATGTTATTAAAATTTTTTAATTCCTTATCTTTCAGAGATACATATTGAAATGTTTACATTTCAATGCGATGCAGGGTAAATAGTCCATGGCAGTCGTTATACCATGTTGTCCACATTTGTACACATTTGAAAGTTTCCATCATGAAAGTCTTCCCCAGTGAGTCAAACAAGAAGCCTGGGCTGAGAACCACCAGGTTTCACTCTGGGGGCCATGAGGCATGGGGAGGTTCCAGTCCTACCAGCCCGGGAATCATCTGGGGAGCTTAGTAAACACAGGTGCCGAGAGTCCCAGCCCAGACCAACTAGATCACTCTCTCTGGGGCTGGGGCCCTGGCATCAGTATGTCTTTATCAGATGCAGGTGGCCCACAGACCTACATTCTAAACCAACCTAAAGCCAGATGGCCCTGGGTTCAAATCCCAGCTATGCAATTTTCTAGCTGAATGACTTTGGGCAAGTCCTTTCACCCCAAAGTCTCAGTTTTCGCATCTGGGAACTGGAAGCAGTCAGTCCCACTGCTCAGCCTACCTCATGGGACTGCAAGGAGGGACAAGTGGAATGAGGTCCGTGGGACCTCATTTTTCCAACCTAAGGCCGCAGCATTATTCCTGGAGCAGGTGGTGGTATTTGCTTTGTAGGCTGGCTTTCCTTCTGGAAGTGGGTGGGCTGTCAGGGAATCGCAAATACACTTCAACTACAGCCCAGTTCCCACCCACTGTGAAAAGCTAAGGTGCTGGCAGAGAAGGGGATGGGGTGGGACACAGCTGGCAATGACTCATTTATTTCTTAAGCAAATAATGAGGGAGGATCTGCTTGTATGCCAGGAGGTGGCTAAATACATCCAAGACTGAGCCACAGCAGGAGAGACAGTGAGGTCCCCGGCCCCGTACTGCCTCTCGCCTCGGAAGAGAGGGACAGTAAGTAAACCAAGATGCAAATAAATATACAACTATACATGGTGAGAGCTGTGACGACAACAACAACAACAAAACAGGGTCCCGGCGGGGGTGGGAGCCAGGCTGGGGGGCGTCCATGGGTGAAGCAAGGTGGTTAGAGGGAGGTTTGAATCCCAGCCCTGCCACTTACTGACTGGCCTGGGCCAAGTTACTTGGTGATGATGAGATTAAATGAGATAAAACCTGTGAAGTACTTACACGACACTTCCTGGCACAGAGTAAAAGCTCAAGCAATGACATTAGCAGTATTAACATGAATACTAATGGTAAACACAGTAACAAGTCCGCCATTTCCTGCAGACCGTGACACACCAAGAACTGTACCAGACGCTTCACATCAGGGCTGGCAAAGTCAGGCCCACAGTCTGGCCACATGAAAACAGTTTTATTTGGACATGGAGATGCCCATTCATTTCCATACTGTCCACATCTGCTTTTGAGCTACAGTGGCAGAGCTGAGTACTTGTGACCGAGACCATGTGCTCTACAAAGACTAAAATATCTACTATCTGCCTCTTTACAGAAAAAGTTGGCTGACGCCTGCTTACATCAGACCTCACGACACCAAAGATGGCGATTCTTAAGGGGAGGAACTAGAACTCAAACGCGGGCCTTCTGCCTCCAAATCCAGCCTTCTTTCAGTCTTGGCATCAACACAGAGTCAACCCTGCACAAAGATGCCCAGCCGAGGGGGCGAGTGGGGGCTGAAGTGCAGCTGGTCCTGGGCCTGGGGGCGGCAGGACTGCATTGGCTGAAGGGACGCAGGGCCTTTCTCAAACTCATTCACCTAGAGCAGGCCAGATGCCTTTTTCTAACCTGCACAGAGGCCCGGTGCAAACTGTCAGGGTGCCAGGCTTATACACACAGGGGCCTCACAAACCCTGGCATTGTTTCAAAATCAGGCAAGCCCAGCTGTGGGTCTAGAACAAAGCAACCTAGACTTATCATGATCATTTTGTAAATGTACAGAAATGGCGAATCACTATGGTGTGTACCTGGAACTAACAGCATTGTAGGCCAATTATACTTCCATTAAAAAAAAAAAAAAAAGGACATGTAAACACAGAATTCGAACAGGTCTGCAGTGAACAATATTTACAATGTTATAATGATGCAAACGCTAATTACTGATGTAATTTAAAGTATGATAAAATTGGGGGGAGAGGATGAGGAAGGAGAGGTGGAGTTATTCAATCTTCATCTCAACATTTATAAAGTTAAAAACTGCTCTTTTGGGCATTCCCTGGAGGTCCAGTGGTTAGGACTCCATACTTTCACTGCTAAGGGCCAGGGTTCAATCCCTGGTCGGGGAACTAAGATCTCACAAGCCATGCAGCGCCACCAAAAAAAAAAACAAAACAAAACTGCTTTTTTCTTTTCCTTCTATTCGAGACAA